ATGTAGACCAGGCTGGCCTCAAACTCACAAAGATCCGCCTGCCTCTGCCTCCCAAGTGCTAGGATTAAAGGCGTGCGCCACCATACCTGGCAATTATTTCCATTTTATGAACCAAATAAAAAAAGTTTAAATATAGACCTATTTGAACTCCAAATTTTGTAGGTTTCTGTCACATTCTAGCTGACAAACACTAATCCTATGGCATAAGCAGTGACTCAAAAACTGATTCATTCTATAATAAAAAGCAAGTAAAGCTTTGGTGTAGTAACCCACAAGCCAGAGTGGAAAAAGCTAATAAGCTCCATATAAAATTTAGGCACTCTTTCCAATTCATTTAGATGTTCTATCTACTTAATTTTATGAACTCTAAAAGTGCACAAAATACTTTTTTAAATTCAATTATAAAAATGTAAACAAAGTAGTCAATGTTATAAAATTTTAAAAATATACTGAACTTTCAAATATTTATAAAGAAATTCTATAGACCAAGAGCAAAAAGAATCCTTTTAATATAGGAAATATTATTTATACAATTAAAAGAATCCCTTTTTAGTGATATCCCATAGTTTTCAGGTCAGAGTGTAGTGAAAGCGGGGTGTGGCAACAGGCTATTTGGAAACCTGATTTAAATCCCTTCAAGCTATGACAAAGAATGCTACCTGTACTTCACCATCATCCTCCCTAAGACAGCTTGAAAAAAGACGAGGATTATCAGTAAGCCAAGGCCACAGAAGGCGGAGAATTGTAACAAGTCCCAGAGAAGCCCCATCAGAAGAGCCACTTGTAAAGGAGCGATCCATACAAAATGTGCCAAAGCAAGTCCCTGCAAAATAAAAGCACAGAGAAAACAGTGACATGTTATCTTCCACCCTCGAAAACCAAGCAAAGCAGCATATATGGAAGAAAATAAGCACTAAGAGCTTATCCAACCAAACATTCATGGTTCTGAGCACATTAAAATTTAGATGTTCCTGACGTGGCACCCACAGCAATGGACTTGGTCAAGGTATAGACCACATTTTCCCAGGGAACAAATTTCAAGTCACTGAATGTCAAAATATGTTTTCGTTCAGTAGAACTGAGATTGGATATTATAAAAATCATGTCTAGAATTTATTTTAAATAACATCCTTTTAAGTTAAAGCCACAGCCCTCATATAGAACATGTGAGAGCAAAGGATTCCTCAGAGGGTCAATCCATATGAACCTGTACATCTCAATATCTGATGCTCAATTCACTTATTATTTATTTATAAATATATTTAGCATTTGCTAAGCTAAATACTGAAAATACAAAGATAAACTAAACACAGTATCTGTCCTCAAAGACCTTGACTTTATTTGTCATATAAGACAGTACAGGACAAGGATTGCTCAGAGTATCATATTTAGCCAAAGTAAATAACAACTTTAAAGTAGTTTATTAAAAGGAAGCAAAGTCCGATAAGGATTAAGGAATGAAAAATCTTATTAAGAGCAAGCTGAGGTGTGTTTGAGCTGGGCAGCTCTACCTGGCCTCAGAATGCTACTCTGCTACAAGATTTAGCTTTCTCAGCTTCCAGAAATAGGCAAAGTAGGAACAGGTAAGACTTTGTGACTTATTAACATTATCTGATGGAGGAAAAAAATATTCCTTTGGGGTTGTTTGATTTCTAATATTACACATAAAACATTTAATCAATAGATACCTACTTCATCAAATTTGTTCAGGTTGTTGGAAAGAAGACTAACAAGTTGTCCAATACTAATTTTATCAAGAACACGGCTTGACAGCTTTAAAGTCTGAAAGAAAAATGGGAAGTTATATGATATCAAAAAACAAAAATCAAATATATTCATTAAGTTACACTATAATAAAGCTGAGGAAACCAATGACTGCATGTATCTTAAATGAAGGCAGTCAGCATTGTTTTATATTAGTTCGAAATCTTCTCAGATGTATTACTTATAAGTATTTTTCTTAACAGCAAATATAATGACACAACTGTTATATTTTTGGTTTTTGTCTTTTATGATTTTGCATGATTAAATTATTTAACTATCCATTTGCAAAATATGAGGAGTCTTTTCTTTTGAAAATTTCATGTATGTATACTGGTTGAGTCTTTTGTTTGGGTTTGGGGATTTGTTTTGTTTGTGCTTTTGTTTTAAAATATGGAACCAAATATTATTCTGATTCAGGTAGCCCAGATTCAGAAAACAAATACTACATGCTCCTCCTTGATGTTGATCTTACCATGAATTTTTACAGTAGTATGCCAGAAAGATAGAAAAGGGCCGTTAGAGGGAGAGAGGGAGGGTATCAGAATACAGCAGACATGAAGATGGAGGCCTGAGGTGGGAGGATCCTGGGGGCAGAAACATCTATGCAAGGAGAGAGGTGAGAGGATACGGAAGAGGAGGAAGGAGGTTAATCAAAACTAAGGATATATGAAAAAGTCATAAGGAAACCTACTTTACTTTTAAAAATGCAATCTAAGAGTTAAATAGAGGTACCATCCATAGACAATACTCCTCCCAGAAGCCATAGGTTAATAAACAGAAGTCCCAGTGCCAAGTATGAGATGATTTCCTAGGAGTGGTTGACCATGAAGGCCCTAGGAGCCCCGAAAACAACTCAGGCACTTGCCATTGCTCTTGGTTGCCTGTCAGACTCTGAAGTAAGACCCTTTTGCTGAAGAAACTACACAGTGTTGCCACAGAACATAGAGAAATCAAGCTGGAGTTGAACTAGAAGCTTCCTCTCTACTGGCTAGTAGTAACAGTAGGGAAGAAAAAGCATCAAGAGTTTTATCCAGCTGTGACGCTTGTAAGCTATAACGACCTATTAAGCAAGATGTGCCCAGCATGGCTAGGGGATAACCAAGTACTTTCTAATTGGATTTACAGCCTGCTCCACAAAAGGAAGCTCATGTCTGGTTCTGTAAACCTGATGAAGAGCCTGTAGCTGGAGAGGTCATAGGATCCTACTACTGCTATTCTGCCAAATAGTCATGGTGTCAAACTGCCTTCTAAACACTTGCTTATACATTGATAATGCTGTGCCCAATCTTCATCAACAAACTTCTTACTGCAGCAAATGGCAGTTAATGCAGAAACTGGTAACTGCCCAAGTATGGAGAACAAGTGGGTGGAATGCTCAGTCCTAAATGGAACAGGCTCAGAGAACAATCACTGAAGAGAGGACAGAAAGAATGTAAGAGCCAAGGGTGGGGGCGATGTGCAGCAAAATGATGTCTTCTGTATATCACACATCAACTGTGGTTATCTGCACAAGACCTGCTCAAGACTGTGTACATTTCCTGATTAATAAAGAAGGGGCCAATGAGGCCCCACCCTCAAGAGGGACTTTTGGCAATTAATGGCTGTTGGAGAGGGGGAGCATTTTTTTCTTCAGTGCTGCAGCCATTTGCTCCACTAAACGGTATAGCCCTCTCTCTACTAAATAAAATCCCACCCATTCTCATACAAGTAACTCATAAACTCAGTGGGCCACACACAAGACAGAAAAGTAGGAGGGGTTCTTAGTAGGACGAGTTCCAGTAGGACAAGGAGAATGATAGAGAGAAATGAAATATAAAATGGATAAATCAATACAGGCAATTTATATAAGGTGCTTAATAGCCATCAACTGAAGCCAGTTAAATTATCAAAGATAACTCAGAACACTTCTTCTTCCTGCCATTTCTAGCCCTGTGATATCGAAATCAGTTTTAGTACTTCTCCCCTCCTTATACCAGCTCACACCTTTTAGGATAATGAGCCATGCAGAATACCAGCTCAGCTTTTAAGATAATATGCCATGCAGAATACCACCTCACAGCTTTTAGGATAATATACCATGCAGAATACCAGCTCACAGCTTTTAGGATAATATGCCATGCAGAATGCCTGGGGACTGAGCAGGGTAGCAACAATGGCAACAAACTTGCCTGCCATATGCAACACCCTGTGTTCAATCTCCAGCACTGAGATAACAAAACAAAACCCAGAAGCATTACCTTCTTATAAATCAAGCTAAACATAGCTACTCTCATCTGCATTCCAATGCGGTGAAGACCAAAAACAGCTGGATGCAGAAGCAGTGTCCTAACAATGAAGAGCAGGCATAAGCCTATCCCGAGGTAAATGGCAATGGAGCGTTCCACCTTGTTATCTGGATCATAGGAAGCTATGATTCTTCCCAGCAAGAGGGGCTGGACAGCCTTGGTGACTTCCTGCAGAAGAAAAACAAAAGTTAAATTTCATTTCCCACCTAAAACGTCCTCACAATTTCAACACAAGAAGTTTCATCTTTACAGGAGGTCTTAAAATGAATTTACCAAGTGGATCGAACCATGTATGAAACCTCTGACACTATCTTTAATTTGTGGCTATTCTGAAAAATATTTGGTTATTGGTTACAGCAAAATTCATTTGGAGATAAGTTTATGTGTAAAGATATCACTAAAAAAATGAATATTAGCCATAAAGCATAGTTGTACTTTCTGCAATGGTGCATTAATTAGTAGCACCTATATGGCACTAAACAGTTTCTAAAATATTGCCAAGTTGATTTTATAATAACTTTCGGAGTTAGAAAAGGGCGTCTAATGACATCTTCTTCTGACTTTCACAGGCATTGCATGACACAGGCGCACTACAGGCATGCAGGCAACACACCCATACACATAAAATAAAAATAATAATTTTTTTAAAACTCAATGAAAGAGATCTTGCTAGAGACTATATAAAATATCATATTACAGAAAAAATATTTAACTATTCCTAAGAAGTGATTCTTATCTATGGAATAGTAAAAAGAACACCCTAAAAATGAGAGAGAACTATTTGGGCAACTGAGCTTCAAGAAAGAAATTTTTAAGTTAATAACTATGGGCTTATATAAATTTTTCTTTTGTTGAGTAGTTTGAACTAAACATCCTGCTGTAAGATTGTCATTATGTTTTTCTATAACCTGTCATGTTTATCATAACACTTATTTGTTGAATTAATTGGTTGTAACTTATAATAAAATGATTACAATTTGTATTAGCCTGAATGAAATGCTCATTTTCATGTTGTTACTACTGAGATAGCTATCATCTTGCCTTGACTAAAATAGCACGGCATGCTCATCCTTTGAACAACAGAGATTATTTCACAAAGACATTGGTAGTATTACTCTGGCAGGCACAGGATAAGTTCATAGACTATAATGCAGCTTATTTTGGTTGAAAATTCCTGTGTTAGGACCATCTGTAAATCTCAACATAAATCTCATTCCTGCGTAGAGCTGTTATCTATCGGTCAAGGACAGAACCAACATTTCCAGCCTCCCTCCTCCTCTATAGTTTTCCCTAATCTGTTTTATGCAGCATGTTCTCTACTATTTACAATGGAACCATTCATAGACACCACCTGACATTTTTTTAATGTGGAAAAGAAAACAATGGTAACTAATACCTAGCTTAATCTACAAAATCCAGTTCTTTTCAATACCACCACTGGAGAGACACAGTCCTGTATTCTTAATACATGAAAGCTTCATACACTCTGTGGCTCAGACTGCTTTCAGAGACACAAAGTTCCCTGATTTGCACCACATGAAATAGTACATACAGACAGGATTGCATGTAATGGGGAGGGTGTAAAGCTATTTTAAATAAGGTAATAGTCAATAAAATGTTTTATTACCTTTATCAGACATAAATCAAATAGAATCTACTTAATGATGCCCTTGGATAATAAAAGAAGCTCAGTATCCATGTTTATGCCAACGTAAACACTGAATTCAGGGTCATGAAATTCATATCCAGTGTATTAACTAGATATCTGTGTAATAACTATATATCTGAAACATCTCACACACTTTTGCTTTCTGGACCATTTCCTTCATTAATAAACAGATCTGGTGAGCTAGACAATCCTCTCCTGTAACATCCCTGATAATATGATCTGAGTTCAGGGACAATTACCTTGGGTAATTGTCCTGCTCTCTATCTTTCCACAACTATGGATCTTTTATACTCAGAAATATAAAGATCAAAACAACTTGAGTTCAAAAGCCCATCTGGAGCCAGGTGTTCTGGCACCTGCCTATAATCTTAACTTGGGAGGCAGAGACAGAAGGATTACAAATTCAAGGCCTGTCTGCATACACCGCCTCCCAACTAAAAGACCATCTGAGAAAGTGATCAGTTTTGAAAATAGTTAAAGGTACTCGACTTATGGTGGGAGTAATTTTAGGTCTCAATTTAGGCCACCAGCCTTTCAGGAAAGTTTAAAAATAATAGATACGAGATATACCTCACCTATAAAAGGACTTTCCAGACCAGATCTCAGAGTCACTGTAGATAAATATAAATAATTTCAACCACTTCCATTGTACCTGCAAATAAACTCAGATGCTTCTAGAGACCAGGGTATTCAAACCATAAAAGAAAGTACAGACGAAAATAGGAGGTAGACTCAGGTTTGCAGTTAAATTCCATGGACTAATTCATGACCAAAAAATACAAGTTCAGGGGCTGGGAATTTAGTTCAAAAAATATAAATTCATGGTCTTAGAATTTAGCTCAGTGGTAGAGTGCATGTGAGGCCCTGTATTTAATTAATTATGATTCAGGATCAAAGCATGTTTTTTGTTTCTAATATAAATAGAATAAGTTGAAATTTACTAAGAGTTACTTGTTTTGTCTTGGGAAGCCACCAAATAATACTATTGATATCAATCACTTGTTTTAAACACATTTTGTATGTCTTTACTTCAAGAATAATAGGAAAAGTAACATTGAGAAATCAATCCATTAACAGAACATCAATATTCTGACAATTTGTGATTGTCATAGAACCAACAGAAAAACCAAATATGATAAACCTTAGTATGTATATTTGATAGTTTCTAATAAAATTCAATATAAACATTCTTCCTTAACCCAAGAAAGAATTTCTCCCTCAAAATTCAACAACTAAAGCCATAATTAATAAACATAACACCTAGAGTCAGATAAACAATAATATTGGCTATTGTGACCACTTACTCTTCTGGAACTTCTAGCTAAGGTAAACTAATAAGAAAAATGATTGACATGAATATCAGAAAGAAAAAGTAAAAAGTATCATTATCAATATGGCATATAATTGTCTATATAATTTAAATGACTCCAGAGGTTAACAAGTATATAAAAACTAACTACTAGGTAAAACAATATTAGAAATATTATGGTTTTGGCTAATGTATTTTATAAGATTAAGGCAGCCTGCCCTCACCTCCCTCTGCTTCCCTGGGCTGCATGGCCAGCCAGCCTCTTTCCTGGATGCTGGGGCTGACCTCTCCACCCAGGGCCACTACTGCTGCCTGATCCCTAGCATCCAGATGGACCCAGGCTTTCTCAAGGTCCCCGGGAGCCCTCTGGGCCTGGGTCTGCCATCACCTCCCTCTTCTTCCTTGGGCCTGCACGACCCACCAGGCCTCTCTCCTGGGTAAGTTGTTGGCGCCCTCCATGCCTTAACTCCCCCCAGCCTCATTCATCCTCCCATCTCCCCCACACGTCTGATCCTTTGCATCCAGATGACCCAGTTCCTTCTTGTGGTCCCCAAGAGCCCTCTGGCCCGGGCACCCTCACCTCCCTCTGCTTCCCTGGGCTGCACAACCCAGCAGCCTCTCTCACAGGAGCCCTCTGGGCTTGGTCCCCCCTCACCACCTTCTACTTCCCTGGGCTGCACAACCCTCCAGCCTCTTTCCTGGACACAGGGGCTGACCTCTCGGCTTCCTGATTATTTGCATCCAGAGCACCAGGTTCCTCAGTGCAGTCCCCAGGAGCCCTTGGGGCCTCTTCCCGCCCCCATCTCCCTTTGCATCTCTCGGTGGCATGGCCACCAGCTGCCCTAGACCAGCATCTTTCCTGGACCCGGCTCCCAGGCCAGTCCAATCCCCAAATTCCTAAGGCAAAAATCTTTCCTGGAGGGATCCACACCTTAGAAGAAAGCGTGAGAGCATCTGATCCTCATCTGACTTTGGCCTCTGTGGGAGCTCCTGAAGACAAAAGCAATCTGGCCATGCCAATATAAATCAAAAGAGAGAACTGGAAGTTTAGAGGAACTAGTTTTTCATGCCCAAAAAGTAAACCACAAAGGCACATACAGTTTACAAAAAGAAGCAGACCTAAACTTGAGGCTGGAGTCTCACACAAGAATGAGAAACTACGAAAGAAATTCACATGTCAAAATCCCAGAGAAAAAATAACATGAAAAACCAAAATAATATATCCCCACCAAATACCAATAGTCCTCTAAAGGAGTACAATGAGAACCCCCTAGAGATAACACAGGACATGGAATTGAAAAGAACAATTATAAACGTGAT